GGGTAATGGAAAATAAACTATGAAAACTATTGCATGATCTATGTACCTTGTCTGTGTGTTATAGGTATATTATAGAGCTGTTTCTACTTAATACATATAGGACCTACCAGTAAGTTTTCAGATAATATGAATATATAACACCATACCCCATTTTCTCAGTTATTAATCTAATAATCAAGATATAAGTATTCCAGTATCTTCAAATTGAATTCAGAGTGACACTAAAAAAAGCTTTAATCAAATCCAAAAACAATGTCATTGGTGATGAAATAAAATAATGGAAAAAAAAATTAAGTCAAATCTATAGACAGTACCATTTGTGATGAAATGAATATAGTTGATATGCTTTTCATAATTGTATACTAACTTAAATTCACTCTAACAGTATAACAATAATAATTTCTGACTCACCTCCCTAAAGCTGGTTTCCATTTAGGGTGGCTGTCAGATTTATGAACAGAACTGCCATTTTGCATTTGTACCACATTATTTACCACCACAACTGCAATCTGTTGTTCTGATGCTAAAGTCTTCAGAGTTATAGCTAGCTGACTAAGTATCCCCAATCCTGGAAAAAGGAAGCTTCATGAAAGTTATATCATATGAATATCATTTATATACATACATGTATGAATAAATATAATTTATATATACATGTATATATAAATATAATTTTCAAATAAATATGTGTGTGTATATAAATATAAATATATATACACACATACACACATTATATATATATATTTATCTATATCTATATATCTATATCTATAACATGCATAGTATATATATAAGAAATATAATATATATAATAAATATATGATATATGTGATAGATGTGATATATATGATATATATGATAAATGTAATATATGTGATCTACATAATCTATATATATAATATATAGTGATAAATATTATGGAAACTATTCTTCTTTAGAATCAAAAAGCAAGAACTGTTTTCCAGCACTTAAGTTGATGAAAAATATGAGTGATACTGTCTTGATAAAGAGTAACAACATTTTCAACATATTTAGATCCTAAATTGATTAGAAAGATAAACAATAAACAACTGAATACATACAACCCAGAATCTAAACAAATTAAAAATCTCAAATACATTTATGACACTGTCTTGAAAAAGAGTAACAACATTTTCAACTTATTTAGATCCTAAATTGATTAGACAGATAAACAACAAACAACTGAATACATACAACCAAGAATCTCAACAAATTAAAAATCTCAAATACATTTCCTCAACAGACCTTCTTTCCGAGTTCCTTCAAGGAGAGGCATGACCAAGTTTGGCAACGAGTCCACTATCACCAACTTGAGTTTCCCTGCACCTTGGCTGTTACTATTACTACTTCCAGCACTACCATCCAGTGTTATGCAAGGATGGTAGGTCTTCTCTAAAGCACGAAACAAGCTCCAGATGTCTGCTGGGGATGTTATTTTGATGCGAGAGAGGGCTTTCTCCATTACCTGTGGGAAAGTATATATTTGAAGGCAGGGAATATCTGATTTCACAATTGAGAACTTTTTCTAAACATCAAAAAAAGAATATATTAATAAGTTCACTTCAAATGGCTGCAAACAGTATTAAACACTGAGCTGTAAAACATATATTTACTTCATATATTGCCCCCCCCCCCAAAAAAAAAAAAAAAAAAAAAAAAAAAAATCTTTCCAGAACAATTAATAATTAATCATCACTTAAGCAGAAAAAATACATTTTATTAAGATATTACTTCTCATACTTCTGATAATACACTAACTACAATACTCCTTTTCCTTAACTTCAAAGATCAAAAATCCTATCTTCCTGAACAGTATATTTGGCTAATTCTTATAAAATCACATTCTTCCTTAATGCATTTTTTCTGTTATCTAACTTCCAACTAAAGCAACATCACCACTAAAACAGCAGCAAAAAATCAAGTCCGTCCCCCCTTAAAAAAAAAAAAAAAAAAAAAAAAAAAAAAAAAAAAAAAAAAGCAAACGCCAAACATACTTCCTCTTCCTCTGAAAAGGCCTCGATGAAAGGGGCCAATTTAGAGGGCGAGACGCTTCCACTTGGATCAATGAAGAGGGTGTGTAGTCCCTGTCTCAGAGCCGCGTGGAGAGCCAACTGCAAGCACAAGGACGTCTTCCCCGTGCCCCAGCCGCCACACATTTCCACCACTTCCCCTGTCATAAGTCCACCTCCAAGCAGACTATTTAGACTGTAAGAGATAAATTTGTTTTAAAAAACATGGAGTGGAAGCCACATCAATCTACTGGTATGTTTCATTTGACTTCATCTTCTGTTAATTTGCTATGAGATAGCTTGATATCTTTGGGTTTACGTTTTTCTTACTTTCCTCTCATTCCCTTATCATCATTACAGATATTATAGTGCTATCAATACAGCACAAGAAATTATAGCTATAATGATAAAAGTAATACAAATGTGGTGATGGTGGTGATCATCATCAGATCATCATCACCATTATCATT